CAAAAGTTGAAGTTGGTAAAGATTTAGTGAATAAATCTGTCAGATTGTCACTTGAACGGATTAGTTGCACATCAATGTCACCATTTTTCTGAAAATCGTGTGTGTAGAATAATTTTGGTGAAATGTGCTTCGTTCTATCTCCTTTTATAAATCCTCCCTTCAATTGGGCTATGCATGCAATATTGTCTTCGTATAAAATTGTGGGTCTTTTCTCACATTCCAAACCACATTTTTCTCGAATAAAATGAATTATTGATCTCAACCATACGCATTCCCTACTTGCTTCATGAATAGCTATTATTTCAGCATGATTTGAAGAAGTAGCAACAATAGATTGTTTTGTGGAGCGTCATGATATGATAATACCTCCACATGTAAACACGTACCTGGTCTGAGATCTAGCTTTATGGGGATCAGATAAATAACCTGCATCTGCATAACCAACAAGATCTGCACTATCTTTGTTAGCATAAAACAAACCCATATCAAGAGTTCCCTTTAAATATCGCAATATATGCTTAATCCCGTTCCAATGTCTCCGTGTAGGAGAAGAACTATATCTTGCTAGTAAATTAACAGAAAATGCTATGTCAGGCCTTGTAGCATTAGCAAGATACATTAGTGCACCAATTGCACTGAGATAGGGTACTTCGGGACCAAGGAGTTCCTCATCCTCTTCTGGAGGTCGGAACAAATCCTTATTCACTTCAAGTGATCGAACAACCATTGGTGTACTCAATGGGTGCGCTTTGTCCATGTAAAAGCGTTTTAAGACCCTTTCTGTATAGGCAGATTGATGGATAAAGATCCCGTCTGCTAAATGTTCAATTTGCAGACCAAGACAAAGTTTTGTCTTTCCAAGATCTTTCATCTCAAATTCTTTCTTAAGATATTCAATTGCCTTTTGGAGCTCTTCTGGAGTTCCAACAAGATTTATGTCATCAACATAAACAGCAAGTATAACAAATTCTGATGCCATTTTCTTTATAAAAATACATGGACAAATAACATCATTTATGTAACCTTCTTTCAGCAAATATTCACTAAGGCGATTATACCACATGCGCCCAGATTGCTTTAAACCGTACAAAGATCTTTGTAATCTGATTGAATACATTTTCTGAGATTTTGCTTCAGGCATTTTAAATCCTTCAGGAATTTTCATATAAATTTCATTATCAAGTGAACCGTACAGATAAGCTGTAACTACATCCATTAGATGTATTTCAAGCTTTTCATGTAGTGCTAAACTGATGAGATATCGAAATGTTATGGCATCCATAACAGGTGAATATGTTTCATCAAAATCGACTCCAGGTCGTTGTGAGAATCCTTGTGCAACAAGGCGAGCTTTGTATCTTTCAACTTCATTTTTATCATTCCTTTTTCGCACAAAAACCCATTTATGACCAACTGGTTTTATACCAGCAGGTGTTTGGACTACTGGTCCAAAGACCTCTCTTTTAGCAAGTGACTTCAATTCCGATTGAATTGCCTCTTGCCATTTTGGCCAATCAGATCTTTGTCGACATTCTTCGACAGATCGAGGTTCAAGATCCTCACTATCTTGCATAATATTAAGTGCAACATTATATGCAAAAATATTATCCACCACTATTTCAAATCGATTTAAATTAATCCCATCACCGTTCGAACTTATTAAAAGTTCCTCACTCACATGAGCTTCGGGTTCATTGATTTCTTCAGGAATCTCAGAACTAATCAGATTTTGGGTCTCTTCAGGGGATCCCTTCATAGTATCGTTTTGATCATTTGTCGATTTTCTTTTTCGAGGATTTCGATCCTTAGAACCCAAAGGCCTACCACGCTTCAGGCGTGCTTTAGGTTCACTAGCTCTCATGCTAGTAGATGGTCCTACTGGGACATCAATTCGGATAGGCACATTCTCTGCTGGGATATGTGACTTAGTTATCCTTTTCAAATCAGTAAATGCGTCTGGCATTTGATTTGCTATATTCTGTAAATGGATGATCTTCTGGACCTCCTGATTACATATAGGGGTACGGGGATCAAAGTGAGATAATGATGAAACTTTCCACACAATTTCTCTTTTGATTTCCTTTTTCTCTCCCCCTAATTGTGGGAAATTTGTTTCATCAAACCGACAATCTGCAAATCGAGCAGTAAATAAATCTCCTGTCAATGGTTCAAGATAGCGAATAATAGAGGGTGATTCAAACCCAACATATATTCCTATCCTTCTCTGTGGTCCCATCTTACTACGTTGTGGTGGTGCTACTGGCACATATACAGCACATCCGAAAATTCGTAGATGGGCAATATTTGGTTCATGACCAAAAACTAATTGTGACGGAGAATATTTATTATAATGTGTCGGTCTGAGACGGATAAGTGATGCTGCATGCAAGATAGCATGGCCCCAAACAGTAGTGGGCAATTTTGTTTTCATAAGTAGTGGTCTTGCTATCAATTGCAAGCGTTTAATAAATGACTCTGCAAGGCCATTTTGAGTATGAACATAAGCTACAGGATGTTCAACTTTTATCCCAACGGATAGACAATAATCATCAAAAGCTTGAGATGAGAATTCTCCAGCATTATCAAGGCGAATAGCCTTTATAGGATAATCTGGGAATTGTGCCCTTAATCGAATTATTTGGGCTAATAGCTTTGCAAACGCCAGGTTGCGAGATGATAGTAGACACACATGAGACCATCTTGAAGATGCATCTATTAGGACCATAAAATATCTAAACAACCCACTTGGTGGGTGAATAGGTCCACATATATCCCCATGTATACGCTCTAAAAAGGCAGGGGATTCAATACCAACCTTCATTGGTGATGGTCTAGTGATCATTTTTCCTTGATAACAAGCATCACAAGAAAATTCGTCATTTGTAAGAATCTTCAAGTTCTTTAATGGATGCCCACTCGAATTTTCAGTAATTCGTCTCATCATTATTGATCCGGGATGGCCCAAACGGCCATGCCAAAGCACAAAAGTATTTGAATCCGTAAACTTCTGGTTTACGATAGAGTGTGCTTCAATTGTACTAATTTTTGAATAGTATAAGCCAGAAGATAAAGTTGGTAACTTTTCTACAATGCATTTCTGGCCAGAAATATTCTTTGTAATACAAAGATATTCCCTGTTCATTTCATCTATTGTCTCTACATGATACCCATTTCGGCGGATATCTATAAAACTCAACAAGTTTCTTCGGGACTTGGAGGAGAACAATGCATTGTCTATAATAAGTTTTGTTCCCTTAGACAGAAATATTATGGCTCTTCCAGAGCCTTCAATCAAACTTATATTACCAGAAATTGTTGAAACATTTGCTTTTTCCTTATGCAAATAAGAAAAGTATTTCTGATCGTTGAATATGGCATGAGTTGTTCCACTATCAATAACACACATATCTTCATGATTTGTCTTTGATCCAAACATAATTTGAGGGTTATCCATATTCTTCAAAATAACATAAATAAAATATATTATAGTAAATATCATTATCAAAGCATAACTTTTATTTATGTACAACAATTACATAACCATACTATCTATTACAAATAACAAAAATTAAAATATTTACATTTCTACAGATTCACTACCGATTACATGACTTGTTTCTCCTTCTGGGAGTGCAAAGTAATCAGCTACATCCAAATGCATGAAGTCTAAATTATCTTCAGAAATAAAATTTGCTTCAGCATTTTTCTCTGTCTTCTTCAGGGAGGCTTGATAAAGCTCAACCAGGTGCTTTGGCGTACGACAAGTACGTGACCAGTGCCCTTTTCCTCCACATCTATAGCATGCATTTTCTGCATTTGGCGCTTGCACCGCTTCATGCTTTTGTTCCTTCCTTTTCCACTGCTGGTGGTGAGGAGGCTTCTTTGGTGCATTATTATTACCATGATTGGGGTTTCTTCCCCGACCACGGCCATGACCACGACTGGGGCCACGACCTCTTCCACGTTTAGCTTGGTGGAAGTTCGTCTCATTCACTTCAGGGAATGGACAAGAACCAATAGGTCGGCTTTCATGATTTTTCATTAATAGCCCATTATGTTGCTCTGCTATAAGAAGATGTGAGATAAGTTCAGAATACTTTTTAAATCCCATCTCTCGATATTGCTGCTGCAGGAGCATATTCGAGGCATGAAAAGTGGTGAAAGTTTTCTCCAACATATCATGATCAGTAATATTATCACCACATAATTTTAATTGGGAAATAATTCTGAACATAGCAGAATTATACTCACTGATAGATTTAAAATCTTGTAGCCTTAGATGAGTCCAATCATAACGTGCCTGTGGAAGAACGACCATCTTCAGGTGGTCATATCTATCTTTCAAATTATTCCACAGTATGACTGGATCTTTAATAGTGAGATATTCCATTTTCAGGCCCTCATCAAGGTGATGGCGTAGGAATATCATTGCTTTGGCACGGTCTTGGTTTGATGCCTGGTTTTTATCCTTGATGGTGTCTGCCAGACCCATCGCATCAAGATGAATTTCGGCATCAAGCACCCAAGACATGTACCTTTTGCCCGATATATCCAGAGCTACAAACTCAAATTTAGAAAGATTTGACATTATTTAGAAAAAGAAAGTTCGTACCTCTGATACTTTCAAAGTATTTTCTCGAGATGACAGAGTCTCGTGATGATAACGTGTTATAAAATAAAAACGGTAAAGTAAAGACAAGTATAGAGAGAAACTGATATATTATTCAAACTTCAAACTTATGTACATAATGAACTGAAAACTCCTCTATTTATAGAAGAAATGAAGTAGCTTCGAGGTTTTTCAGGAAGAAGCTGCAAGTCTTTTCTTTAGCTGTTTGTAAGCTTGCAAACTGCATGCATCAGCTGCTTGTAGATAAACTTCAACATAATACTAAATTTATCTATAGCGAAGTAATACATGGACATACACAATATAATTATTTTCATAACACTATATAAAATTTTGGATTGTTGCGAGAATTAACAATTCTGAAGAACAAACTGCTGTCCAAAAGGAACAAACAACCTAGGACCGTCCTTTAAACTTCTAGTACCCACATTTGAGCTCAAAAATGGCATTGTACCGCCGTCTTTCTCGAACTTCCCGTGTCTTCCAATGGCACCCTCGCCCCTCTGTCGCTGCCCTCTACTCTTCCCGCGATCAAACAAACCCTAGCCCAACTGATCCTCATTCTCTGTTAATTAACCCCTTTCAATCTTCTTCTTCTGATCATTATATACCCAACTCCAATTTGAAGAAATCGTTGACATATTATTACTCTCCACATTCTTCAAGAATTGAACTTTTAGGGTACCGTCAAGTTCTTCACTTTTCAACCTTTGCTAATTCAGAAGAAGAGAAGAAGAATGAGCAACAAAAGCATTCTTGGATTGATACGTATTTGCCCCAAAGAATTAGACCCTATGCTCATCTTGCCCGACTTGATAAGCCTATTGGCACTTGGTTACTCGCTTGGCCCTGCATGTGGTAACTCCATTTTCTCCCCCCCCCTCTATTTCAATTACTCTATATCCCTGTGCTTGTGTGTTTGTTATAATTCTTAACTTTTAAGGATTTATGTGTAGGTCGATTGCTTTGGCTGCTACGCCAGGGAGCCTTCCTGATGTGAAAATGATGACACTATTTGGTTGCGGGGCTTTGCTTTTGCGAGGTGCTGGTTGTACAGTTAACGATCTTCTTGATCGAGATATTGACACTAAGGTGATTGGGTTTCCCTTTTAGCGTTAGTAGGATTTTGTATAGTTCTTTAAGTCGAATTACACTTACATATTCCCAAAGAAAAAAATTATTTATTGCTCATTTTTTATTTGGATTATTGACTTGGTAACTCCAAGTAGTGTTTTAGAATAATTTGTTAGTTCCATTAAAAAGGGAAAATCATAAGCTCAACACTTGATAAGAAGATGTGCTCTTTTTCTCAGTCCTCTAAGATAATAGTGAGGGGGAACAAAAAGAGAATCAATTTTCTGACTTGATATCTAGAATGCTTCTGCTACTTTAGGATGAGGATGTTGGATATTGAATGAAGGTGATGCTGCCTGCTACCTCCTTCTCCGTTGTCTTGGTCGCTAGGTGAGAGATAGGGGGAATTAATGGGAAGAAAAAATAGGTGTACTCTTTCCCTTGATATTATGGTGTTTCATTGCAAGATGGGGGCTGCTATAATTAGTTCCTTTACTGCTTCAGTTGGGTAGTAATGTGTTGGTTTAACCATCGAATTTTGAAGTTGATACCTTATGTCTGTTTTATTTTTCTCTCTCTTGTTCTCATACATAATCATTTCTAGTTCCTTTTAGTATCAACTAGGAGTTCATAGTTAAAAAGTCATTGAGACTGATATTGATCGGAGTACCTTGCATTTGTTTCTTCCCTGATTCCTCTCCCTATCATCACCAATATAATCCTTTCTTGTACCATCCTTCCGAAAGCTGGTTGACTTTGGCCTTTTGCTTGTAACATCAGTTTTTTCTTCTGCTTTTAGTACATTTGCGAGCTTTCATGCAGTGCAGGTGGAAAGAACAAGGTCGAGGCCAGTCGCGAGTGGTGTATTGACACCCTTTCAAGGGCTCTGTTTCCTTGGCTTCCAGTTGCTACTAGGTCTTGGGATTCTCTTGCAATTAAACAATTTTAGGTTTGTGTCTTTTTTTCTTGACATGATTCTGTTCTTTCTCAGGTTTCCTTTGCACAGAAAGCATTTTGCTTAATCTGTTTGAGAGTGTTTTAATTAATTGGTTCATTCTAGTTTATTAACTGAACCCATTCAATGGCTATCTGTTCTCATAGAAGAGTTTTATATGATCTGCTTTCGTCTCATGGTTTATACTTTATAGAGAAGTCAGTGAAATTTTCTTCATATGTTTGGAGTCAGCTTAAATATTTTCATCTTGCCATTGCTGAAGTTTGCAAGAGCCATGCTTTTTTTGCCAAAAACAGGACTCTGAAACTGAATGATCCTGATCTTGTCAAAACACAAAAAAGTTTATATGATAGAATGATACTTTGCGATTCTGATGAATGCTTTCTTGCTGGATGTCCATTTCTTTAGTCACCCTATGGATATTGTTGAGTAAGTGGAAAAATGCTTATTAAAACTTTAGAGCATTACGCAGTATAAATTTGTTGAGTCTGATGACGTGGAAACCATTTCTCCTTAGAAGAAGGACCAGTGTGTCTATTGAAAAGATCTTAAACTATTTATGACAATATGTAATGAACACATAGGTTTACAATTCTCTTCTTTTTTCCACTTTCTCACATCAGGCAACATTTCCAAGACCTCTCCCCCAACCAAAAAATTTCAGTTCCGGGGCTTTACTTCATTCAATTAATAAGAATAATATCACAGTTTTGCTTTGGTAAAATCTAGGTATGGAATGTGTAGTAATTCTTGCAAGTTGCTGACATTTGGGACTAAAGACAGTGCATTTGTCGGAGTCCCCTTTTGAATTATATATGGTTTGTCCCATATTCTGCTAAAATAATCACTTCGGGTTTATTTTCTAATTTGCCACGATTTGGAGAACTGGGTATTTATGAGTATCTTTGATCTCTTTCTTGCATTTCGATGTAGAAAGCATTTCTTGCTTTATATGACGTTTCACATTTCTAATGATTCATCTCTCTTGCTGCAGCCGCATTTTGGGTGCTTCATCCCTGTTGCTGGTCTTCTCATACCCCCTCATGAAGAGGTTTACTTTTTGGGTAATGTATCCTAATGTCCGCGTTGCTTTTCTCAAATCAGTATATGTGTACCGTCTCCCTCACTCTCACTGCCCCCAACCCCAAAGGAATTTCTCTTCTCAGCTCCTGTGGATCTTTCCCAACAGTTTGGTTAGAATGGGTGATGTCTATATCTGTTGGTGCAGCCTCAAGCCTATCTTGGTCTAACTTTCAACTGGGGAGCTTTGTTAGGTTGGGCTGCTATTAAAGGAAGTATTGATCCTGCAGTAGTGCTTCCACTGTACGCCTCTGGGGTGTTTTGGACGCTCGTGTATGACACAATATATGCACATCAGGTACATATTAATCATTTGAAATATGACTGCATATTATACTAATTTGAGTTTGAAACGTTTAGCAGAAGACAATTTCACATAAATATAACAAATCAAAAACGTTTTACTTCAGTATATTGCCTTTGCACCTTAGAAACTTGGTCTCCTGTACATGCACACTATTGCCTCGTGCTCGAGTATATCTTGCTTAAGGACTTCCTGTAACCCTATCCAGAAAGATTCAGTTTCCTGTCACAAGCTCACAACTACACCCTTGCTGCCTCACATCATGTCTTTTTCAGATTGCTCACCCACTTGATAGATTTTAACAGTCAAATTGTGACCCTTTTTCTGCATGTTATTAGCATCTGTCTATGACTGTAAGGCAGCTTTAATCATGTAATTTGGGTGTCAGATGCAGAGAGATTGGGTTTTTATCTATATACATACATACATACATATATAATATATCTTTATTATTATAAAAGCATGAATAAAATGTTGGATTACAAAAATAACCTTTTAATATTAAGCATAATAACTCACAATAAAATGATATAATCTGAATTCTAGACATTAGCATTGTAATCCTATTAGTTTTAGGACATAATACTATATGTTAGGAATCATATATGATTACCTTTAGGAATTAGATTTTATTCTTTTTATTTTTTTTAAAAAAGAATTTCAATGTTTGTTGCTACTGAAATTCATATATACAGAATAAAATTTACACTACGCAATGTCAGCACACTCCGCTTATGAAAAGTCCAGGAGTCTCCTTAACAAGACGTTTCGTAAATGTCCAAAAGTCACTTTCTTTTATTTAAATATTATTAAATAATTAAATAAGGTACATTTCAATTATTTAGAAGGTTATTATAGTAATTTAACTTTTAACTTTTGGGGTTCCCACTTTTATAATGGCACATGATGGTTTAAATATTTATTTATATGAATGAACAATAAAATTTAATTAATGAGAGAATTTTATATATAATAATACAACAATCATCTAAAGCATAATAACTCACAATAAAAAGGACATAACCGGAATTCTAGACATTAGCCTTGTAATCCTATTAGTTTTAGGACATAATATTACACGTTAGAAAACCTACATGATTACCTTTAGAAATCCCATTAGTATAATTATGTTCGGGCATAGATATATAATACTATATGTTAGCATGTAAACCTAATACCTTTAGGAACATGTTAGATTTTCTATTAGTATAATTACTTTCGGGATATGGACATATTTTTAGCCATGTAATTCTATAACTTTTATGATATATACTTTAAAAAAAATTCCTATTACTAATTTAATTTGAAAACGTATCATATTGTCCAAATTCATTTAGAAACAAGAGAGCCTATATTATTATAAAAGCACGAATATAATATTGATAAACCAAAAATAGCCCTAAAATATTAAACAGAAGAATTCATAGGGAAAGAACATAGTTGTAATAACTTATTTTTTGCTCTAGAAATATAAAAATAAGAACAAATCCAACATTCAGTGACTTCTTGCTTCTTGTCAGAAACGAAGAAGAGCATCCAATAAAATATGATTTGGTTCTTTCTAGAACACTTGGTTATCAACCCCAATCGTAATAGTAGTGCATTTAATAAGGAGAATATTTTCATCATTGGATTAAACCACAATTTATGAGAATTACATGATTGAAGTTAAAGAGCTATCTTAGCTAGCAAAAATGAATTTGTTGATCAACTAAATAAAAGGTTGATTGCTAAGTTTTATGGTAAAATCAAAATATTTTTCAGTTTTGACTCAGTACAAGATGATACCAACAATTACTACCAAGAAAATACTTAAATACTTTAATACCAAATAGCCTTCTACCGTACATGTTTGTTGTCAAGTTCATTATTTCTCCATATATATAATAGACTAAGTTAAAATTGATCTTCCATTGCATATAGGTTGATTTTGAAGAAAAATATGCCCGTCATGTTACTGAAAACTTAGATCTGCTGAATAACTTATGTAATAGTACACATACGGTATATAGAAGTTTCGACAATAACGTCATATATGCAGAACTTATGATACTGATCAATGTGTTTCTAAGTATGTGTTTAACCCCGAATTCAACTTTCGTCTTCCGAAACTAAAGAATATCCTTCTAAATTTGTGTGAAAATAATTTTCAGTATGTTTATATTTTGTAGTTATAATAAATAAAAACAAGGACAAACATCCTAAATATTGGACTATATTTACCACAATATATTTTCTTACGCGAATAACTATATGTTGCACTTTCAAGAGAGATATCAATATCGACAACAAGAGTTCTGGTTATGGCAGAATAACCAAAGTATTATAAGGAAACATATACAAAAAAAACACATTCTATAAAGAAATGTTCGGTAAGATACCATCACATTAGATACCTTTAACTACAATACATAATTATCTACTTAACATGACTAAAATTGATCATTTATGTAAGTTCTGATGATGCCCTTTCATTTTGAATTCACGTATTATGCTAATGTAACAATATTTTTCGGCATTTAGATGATTGTTGTAGTATTATATATAAAATTTCTCTCATTAATTAAATTTTATTGTTCCTTCATATAAATAAATATTTAAACCATCATGTACCATTATTAACGTGCAACACACGTTTATAGATACCGGTATATATATATATATATGAAAGAGAGGGAGAGAGAGATTTGGTTCCCATAAGTCCCATTTGCTTCTCTTTAGTGGTTTTCGTTTTGGAGGATTATATTTTTTGGGTTCATCTGATTAGTATTGGATCTTATAGGATTTTTTTTGAGAAGGTAAAAATAAGGATCTTATAGGAAAATTCTGGATTAACAAAATTCTCCCTCGATTCCATCTTATATGGCAGCGTTTAATTGGAAATGGAGTTTAAGATATTACTTGACATGTGTATTATAATTTATACTGATAGTGCAAGCCTGCATGGAATTTGAAGTAACACTTAAAAAGGTAGTATGATGGACAAATATATCGACAAAGTGTGGATTATGAATAGTTAAATTAATTTAAAAGTGTTAATGTGGTATAGAGTAATATTACTAATGGAGATTGGGTGTCTTTTGCAGAAATCATATTCTTTTTTGATATACTACTTTTGGTATACTACTTATATATGGGAGTTTGTTTTTCCCAAATCAATAAAATTGTTGCTTAATTGAAAAATAATGTTACTAACAGGATGGTATCAAACATTTTATGGCATTTCAAATGGTAAAAGTGTCTGATAAATTGGAATTGAGGGAGCTGCTGCATCCTAGTTTGAATCTTCTTTAAGTACTACTATAATGTTGTTATCTGGGGAAAAGGCTATTGGTATCAGATTACATTTTATATTTGCTGGACGATCTTATGCCTGCACCATGTATTAGGTAATATTGACATGAAAACCGGCCTTTGCCAATAAAAAATTTGGCTTCCAGAAATATCTAAATGAAAAAAAGGACCCACGTTAATTAGGCCTTTTAGACTCAGGTTCGTAGTATCATAATTGCCTTCTGCTACAATTGAATCCCTCATAGCATCTGGCATATATGTGCATGTTTATTTATATAGCAGATGCACCAATCTAAGATTTGTGTTCCCCATTAAACTAGTCTGAGACACTTAGAAGTTTTCCAATTTATGTGAAACCAGCTCTTGTCAATATGTTGGTGAATGTTCATTCAGGATAAAGAAGACGATCTCAAAGTGGGTGTCAAGTCTACAGCCTTGAGATTTGGGGATTCCACAAAAGAATGGATCAGTGGTTTTGGATTAGCATGCATCAGCAGTCTTGCTCTTTCCGGAATTAATGCCGATATTGGTATGTGTTCTCTCCAATCAGTTTGTGACAAACATTTTCCTTGTTACTTATTTCCCATATTTTGTTTTAGTTTAATTTATTCTTCTCTTTTTTTTTTAACAGGATGGCCATACTATGCATTTCTGACAGCTGCTTCTGGCCAGTTGGCTTGGCAAATTTGGACCGTTGACCTATCATCTCGTGCAGATTGCAACAGAAAGTGTGTATAGAATAGTAATTAGAGACATGCTTACATTTTAGTTACTGTGAATATATGGTCATTGGTCAACTGGATTACTTCTATTTGTCTGCTTCCTTGGACATGAAAGTATCAAAAGCAATTCATCCTTAGAAATACAGTATTATAGCACCCAAATCAGTTCAATGTATCTATGAATTGATTCATGTCACTGATAATGTTTGGTCTTTTAGATTCTTACTTTTTGAATCTATTGTACTTTGTATGTAGATTTGTGTCCAACAAATGGTTTGGTGCTTTTGTCTTTGGTGGGGTTCTATTTGGAAGACTATTGTGACTATAGTAGGTAATCACGATGCTCTTTTCTTCTCTAACCTTTTGTCATTGTGATTTTAAATACCATAATTGGGTAGTAGTCGAAGTTGTATGCTAAGTCGTTTGTTGATAATTCTTATGCAGATAAAGAACAAGGCTTATTGTACGACTGGAGATAGTAAGTGTTACAAATACACTGTCCATTCTATGAAACTTTTGTTTACATGTACCTATTAAATGATCTTGTTAATTCTTGTAACTTTGGGGTAGACTTTGCACTTTATAGATAGGGTGTTTTAGCCTTGTGGAAGGCACACTTGAAGTAATACTTCTACATCTATCTATTCTTGATATGTCTCAATAGCAGTAGTCTTGTGGCTTTATTTTATAATTAATAATAATTGTAGCTATATTTCATAGTACGTTATTAGCACAAATCTTTAAGTTTATTTCCATAATCTCCTCAAACTTGAACTTAATCAAGTTAATTCTTGTAATTTTGGGTGTACCTATACGTACTATAAATAGGGTGTTCTTAGCCTTATGAAAGCCACACTTGAGGTGAATAAAATACTTATACCTCTGTCTATTCTTGCCGTAGCTCAATTGCAATAGTCTTGTAGCTTTATTTTATACTACTAAGTTATATACTTGTATTTATTTTATTTTGATTACATTGGAGATTTTGCCCTTTTGGTTTGTATCAGGATAAAGTAGTGGAAATGATCACGTCATATTGTATTATAAGTAGCACATAGAGGATAAAGTGGATGGTCAATTGGGATAATCTGGTAATGTGACACGATAATGATAGGAAGTGTTAAAAGAGGACACGTTAGACCTAAAATAACATGGAGAGAAGTGTTTTAGAAAACCTACAATCTCTTGGAATCTATAACTAAGAACATAACACGATTAAACTTAAAAGATACATAAAAGTGATGTCAACTAATTGTGATTAAGACTTGGTCGTGTTGCTTCTGTTATATTAGGTTCGATGGTTGCAAGGAGCGTTTTTAGTTTGTTTGGAGGATTTGTAGGTCAGCAGAATATAGAAAGGACTTTTAATGTTTGAGAATCCTTAATTTTGTCTTAAAAGATGAGTTTTTTGGTGTGGAATGGTGTAAATGGAACATAATGTATTTAGAGGACCCATATAGCTGACCCAACTAGTCTGTGATTCATACTTAATAGTAGTAGCAGGAGTAGTAGTTACGTAGTTGTAGTAGTTAATGTTGATTTGATATCAGGACATAAACCGCAATAGTTACGTCGTAGTAATAGTTATTGTTGATTTGATATCAGAACATGGCGTGACCTTATCTCCTTGGAATAATGTAGCCCGCGTATTGATTTTGTTTGGTTTAATCGCTGAATGCTTACTAATTTAGGACTGTATTCCAATCTCTGGAACAGCTTTTGCGCATAAGGATTCAGTAATTTTGCTCCTTTCCTTTTTGGATAAGTAGATCCAGTAATATTAATTAAAGGAATATAAAACTAACTGGATTCTTAGTCCTTGCTTACTGATGGGATATTATGTCTCCGTCAAAACAATTTATATGTTGCATAGCTCAGATTAGCCAATGCTTGTACTTGGCGAAATATTATGAGTACCCAGATCTTGACATCCCATTCTGTTCTTTTGCCTTTGACATCAGTCTCAATACCTATCTATATTTGTAATGCATTCTCTTGCTAGAAATTCCAAGGACACAAGCTCCCTCCACACCCCACCCACCCCCGGGGTTAATGTGGTGGGTTGTCAAACCATAAGTCACAAAGGCTAGAACTTCTTAGTAAATTGCATTTCTTCACAGCTGATGCCATGTGTGCTTTATCATCACTCTTCTCCTTCCTGTGCTCACTTTGAAGACTTGTATTTGTTCCCCCAGGGCCTAAAACTCTAGTTCAAGTATTCTTTGACCAGGTTGTGTCGTGGGAGCTCAATTTTGGAGCTTGCAACGAATCTCCAGCTGAGTCGTCCGAAGCTGCATTTGGGTTTACAAGAAACATCTGCAGGATTTGTCACTGATTCTTTTGCAGATTTTTGTTTGGAGATATGGCAAAAAGGTTTCCCCCTAGCTCTCTTTGGAAGTTCAAAGCTGTATCACCTAGGTCAGTTAACCAGAGAAATCTCCAAATACAGTAACGTCAACTTGTATTTGTTGGCCAATGTTGTTGTAGCCTGTAAGTTCCATTTTCAGTCAGGGTATTTGATTGCGTAAATGTTACATTAAACACGTGTAGACTTTCTTTTTAATGTATTCACTAAATAGTTTTGGCTGCTTAGACATGCTTACTCTATACATATATGTATATGTGCATCCAAATGTTATAGCCTGTAATGGATGATAGATATATCCTCTCATATGTAGACCTTAATCAAATTACATGTGCTGGTTAGTTTAATCTCGTATATTTGTTTGTTTTCTGCGAGAATTCTGATTTGTTGTCGAAAGGTGAAGAGATAACTCATTATTCCATTAAACTCGATTCAACAACTCAGTTAATGATTTTTTTTTCCTTCTCAAAAAGAACTCAGTTAATGAATTTACTGATGCTTATAATTGCTGGTAGCTTGTCATAAATTACTTGTCATAAAACAGATTCTAATCTTATCAGCCTGTCAACTGTAGTGTAGGTTTTTGTCTTGTCTTTTAATATAGCTATTTGTATAAGCTTTGCTATGGTTTTGTATAGTTACACTGGTGAATAATACAAAAATTGTTAGTTGCCAAAAAAAAAAAAAAAAAAAAAAAAAAAAAAAAATTACGTGTTGTAAAACTCTCTGTTAAATGTAACTTAAGGAGCTAATGTTAATCGTTTAAAACGTATTATTTTATGAGTGTAAATTTAAATCAGGGAACCTATGTTCAACAACAAAAAAAAACACATGTTTCCTGTATTGTTTAGTTCTTTAAAAAAAATAAAAAAAAATCCTTTGATCGTAAATCTTTACTAGGAATTATAAGTGTTGTATTATAATATTGGAGTGTTCTTAGAATGGTTTAACATATGTTAAGTATAAATTAATAAATTATTCATAATTAAGTGAAAAAAAGATTGAGGTGCTTGAATTGGGCCCGAGTTCGAGAATGGATCGGTATGCTAGCCGGCAGAGTTGGCTAAAGATAACTAAGCTACTAGTCAATGGAGATGGCTCTTAACACAAAACTCACTCATTGATTTCTATATAATCTGATGGTTAAGTGTTATTAAATCAGCTCTAACGTCATGCTCAGACCATTATATATTTTATTTATGACATAGTTTCCACTTTCCTGTGATAGGGTAAAAGGGGGAGTGGGACTTCATTAAGGAGGACTAACCAAATCCTAACGGACGTATGTTCATAAATTAATATTTTTGTTACATTTGGACTAAAAGATATACTAATATAATTTTAATATCTAATGTTAAAAAGATACAGTTTGATCTAATTAAATCCAAAGGATTTGGAGTGATGTTTTTATAAATAATCATCTGAAAATTAGGACTACTGCATAATTAAGAACCTGTTGTAACAAACACACATGTGATGTGCATCGTCAGCCATGTTGCTTCAATATTCACATTTGAGCTACGTGACAACGACTACAACATTATTTTAATATTTTACAACCAAGTAATCATCTTCTTAGCTTACTAATTTGCCAAATGTTATTTGTATCGAACCAACTTGTTAAGCCAAAACCTATGTTAAGTCATTATTGTCTACCTAATTCTTTTTAGGACGTCCTAACAAGATTTCAAAGAAATATACGCCTCAATTATTTCGAATCACTTCTTAAGAATATTTCACTATATATATGTCCTTATTCATAGAATTCTGGTAAGCAGGAATATATAGCTTGGTGGTTTAGAATATAATTAATACACGTTAGCAACTAATTATAGACAACTTTGAATTATTTAGCGGATGTGCAAAATAAAGATGTCAAATTTGAGGTCTATGAAGTGTTAGTAATTATAATAAGGGAGGAGAACTTAAAATATTAGAGTGAAACTAAAAGAAAGCCTAAAACTTAAAAGTTGAAAAACCAAAATGCAAAAGTTTAAACTGAAGAAGGAAAAACATTATTCAACCAAACTTACCGAGCATATGACCCTCGATAGAAATGTATGAAGGTCGAGAATTTAGGATAGATGGTTAATAAGTAGTCAAACGTTTTTCTTCTCCATACTAGTAGTATAAGTGTTAGTCTTATATTTTCTTACTTTTAAAATTTTATTACTATCTGTTGTTTCTTTTGCTTCGATTTCTTATTATTGTTATTGTTACTGTTCATCTGTCTTTGAGCTGAGGATTTATCGGAAACAACCTCTTTCCCTTCTTAAGGTAAGAATAAGTAGTGGCGGAGCCACATGCACTTAAGGGGTGTCAATTAAGGGGTGTCAACCGACACCGCTTTGCCCGAAAATTACATTATGTAGTTCGGTAATTTTTTATAAAATATGTATATATACTATGTATTGACACCTCTTGATTTCTTGGTAAATTTATTTCTTTATATTTTAACCCCCTTATGAAAATCTTAGCTCCATCACTAAGAGTAAGATCTACATGTACACTGTCCTCTCCAGACCTCATTTGTTAAATTAAACGGGTTATGTTATTATGGTTTGTTGTCACAAACTCTTAAAAAGAAATCACACTCATATCGAACTCCCTAACTTTAATGCATCAAGCATGAGGATTTAAGAAGAAAAAGATGGATGGCCATACCGAAAGAACATGGTGATAAATGCACGTGACATTCTATCATCTTAACTTCTTAAGCCATGTTGCCCCCAACATTCAAAACTTGGAACTATATACGTGAAGAAAAGACTACCCCTATTCTAGTCCCAACCACCCATATATTTCATTTAATTGTATAGTCGGGACTATGTAATGTAATCACTTAACCCTATGATATAATCCTAATTAATCAAGATTTAACGGATTTATAAATCTTCATTAGAAAGGACAAAGAAATATTCTTACCTGTGGCTGTGGCTGTGGCTGTTGCATAACCAGACAAAATTACCAGGCCGTACTTTTACCGTATTCATCTCAACCCACATGGCTTGTCCATCTGTTATTATGTGTGTGGGGTTTAGGATACAATGCTTTCTTAATCATTACTTTATTAACCTAAAAACCATTAAAATAAGCCTCGCTTTTTTATTAAGTGACAAAATGATTCTTACCCCCATGCCATTAGTTTAATAATGGGTGTCAAATGAACTCTATGTACGTACGTAGACAGTACCACGAAGAGGATCTGCCGTACGATTCATCTAATAAAAAAGATTAGTTAATTAAATTAAATATTAATAATACAAATGATACGGACATGAATTAGGGAATCGGATTTGGAATTAGGCTACTTCGCTGGAAACAGATTATTGCTGCAAAACTTTTACCTGCCCTTTGATATCATGCATGTTATCTACATGTACACAATATTGTTTTAAAATTTGAATTAAATTATTACAAATGAGTATGCTGTTTATTTATTTACTCCATTTGTTATTGATTAATGACATTAAAATGGTCAACCAAACAAATCACTATTAATTCTCCTCGTGTGGAAGTGGCATAAGCCTAGAAAAAGTAAACATAAAGCTTAAATAATAAAGCAATCTGCCTCCTTCCATTAATTCCTTCTTTCGTTTATCTCATTTTGTTTGATGTTCATGTACTCAGAAATGGCACGACAATAATCTAGTACATAAGGCAAATTCAGTGATATGAGTAGGCAAAAATTTATACGTACAATCAACAAGTTTCCGTGTGTACGAAGTGTGCAAAAAAAAAATAAAAAAAAATGAAAAAATCTCAAATCAGGTAAAATGAGTTACTATGTACCATGGCAAAGTCACGAATTTAATTATGACATTACGGCCTTACAGGCCAATAAAGTATGAAATTCCTCGAATATGTCCAAAAACTATCACAACAAAAATCAATTACTCCATTAAGGGGTTGACAAATTCTTTTCTTCTACTTTCTACAAAGCTAATAATATTAATCAAGAATCTTCTAGGCGAGCAGCTTGATTAAATTACTTTCCTTAGTGCCTTTTTACTATAGTAGATAAGTTTTACAAGCAAACTATTCCAAGAAAAAAGAAGAAAAAATATAATCACTCAATATCCATATTGTGGAGATTAAAGTGGCAAATAAGAATCAAAATTCATTATGATAACGCAAAAGATGTGCAAATAATAATTGATCTACTTTCTAATTACATTGTCGGTGGCATTAGATATATATATATATATATATATATATATATATCTGCAAATTATTGTACAAATTAAGACATTATATACTTTCTTATTTCTGGAAGAAAGACGTACGGAAAAGATTCTAAAATATGATCGACGCACTTGAGCATCTGGCGACTTCTATACGGAATTCAAACAAATACCACTAGATTCTTCCTAGTCGAATTCAAACAAATATATCTTTCTTTGTTGATATATACTGAATAGGTTCTATTTAGATTCTGTTTAGTGAACGCATGCATATACAGTTTCAAGTTATCGTTCGTCATTAATGTTAATTGTAGTAATTACTTATAACTTGCAGTTGGTCTTTGAATGACCTAATTGTATTGGACAAAAATTATTCTAGTTATATTTAGACTACGTCGGCACTAAGAAAGCCTTCGAGGGCTGCCACGTGTCATCCGTATGATTTTAACAAAAGACAGATTCAAGGTCGACGTGATCTGACAAAATATAAAAGGCTAGGTCAAGGAGTCAACAAAGATCGGAGTCGAGGACGAGTATCCATCTTAACGGATCAATAATGGCTAGTTTTAGGGATAAGACTTTAAAGAGAATATTCCAGTGAATATTCTCGAGATCTGTACTATTAAAGTTTTGTGGCACATATACCCTTATAAATAGAAAAAGACATAGATATTTGTAAAAGAACAACACTTTGACATTCTCTAAAGATTCTTGCTTTATTACATACATACAAAAGATACCTTTTTCTTGAGATCCCTATCTAGTTTTTCTCCAACGATCCAAGGAGAACCCGAATATTCAAAGGTACATCAATCATTTATCATTATCAGAAAGAATATTATACGATTTCATCCCTTTTTGGTCATCTCTGTTATATTTATTTACATAAATATACCATTTATTGTTGTCTATTGTTGTTCACTTCGCATTTGTGCCATTAAATGTTGTTCATTATTATATGTCCATCATTATTTCTCACATACTTTGTGACATTTTGCCACGACACTAGTTAAAAAATCTAGTGGATATTATTATCGGCTAAGATTAATCCTATTTTGTTAAGAAAATCTAATTGTTTAAACCTAGATCAAAATTTTGGGTCAAACAGTTTGGTGTCGTCTG